AGGTAGAACTTTGAGGGAAACAGTCTGTTACAATGTCAACTGTTTATAGGCTTCCTTTGGTTGTCAATGAACTGTTTGACATTCAACTTTTCCTGGTAAATCAATTCTCATCTGGGAGAGCTTGTTTTGAAGAAAGAAGCCATTGAAGATAGAGATGAAGATCGAAGATTGAAAAAGATGAAGATTGTTCATGTCAAAGCTGTGCAACTGTTAAAGCTAGGGTTTACTGCTGTCTGGAGCTACCTGATGTCTGATGCGGTCAACTGGTTAGGATTCTGTGCTTGCTTGAGCTTGGTGATTTCTTGAAGATGGAGGCTTATTGTAGCTTGGGTCTCATTGGAGCTTGACTTTGGGGTTCATTAGGAGATTGCTGTTTATCAACCGTCAGAGTTGGAAGTTTTTCAGAGCTGCTGCTGTAGGAGCTGTTGAGCTGTCAGAGCTGGGTTTTGGAGTTTATTTTCCTTTGCTGTATTGTGTGTTATATTTTCCCCTCGAGGTTGAGGTGAATTTGTTTCACCTGGCTCATTGTTTTCTAGGTTCGAGGTTGAGTGGGACTCTCTTGCCTCGCTTGTACTGCTGCATTCATGCATTTTACTGCTTTACTGTATATATGTTGTTGCTTTTCCGTTTATCCCCTTAGGATCTCTGTTTCTCTCTGCGCAAGAGAGAAATATGACAGACATTAGGATTCTTATCCATGCATGACAACATTAGGGTAGATTTTGATCCCCTTTTCAACCATAGGTTTTAGAGTTGTTGTTTCTCTTCTATCTCAAAACAATCAGAAAAATACAATACAAGGATAAACATCAATAAAAAGCAGTTCTTGTGTAAAAGACTGTAAACCAATCAAAGAGTCATTTTTGTCCGCTTGGACGCGTAATCAGGAGAAAACCTTTTTCAGAAGGATAAAAAATAGTCAGACAAATCTGTGTCTTCCGTAGCCCGAACTACGTTTGCTCTGATCTTTCATGCTGTATGAAAGTACGTAGGCATAGGATGCGATATCCTAGCGAGCAACCTTCCCCTCCTTTCCCGTAGGTAGGCAAACTACATTGACTCTGATTTCTCGTTCCAGACGGGAATACGTAGGCATAAAGTGCGATACTTTGCCGAGTCATTTTCTTTTCTTTTAACCCCAGACCTGTAGAACAGATAGAATAACAATCCGTACTAGAAAACAAGCGTGGATCCCGTCGAGTACGACGAACGTAAGGGGTGCTAATACCTTCCCCTTGCATAACCGACTCCCGAATCCAGGATTTGGTTGCGATGACCATCCCTTTCCCGTCTTTGTGGTAGGTTTACCTCGAGAGTTTCCTTTCCCTCCGTTGGGATAAATAACGCACGGTGGCGACTCTTCTGTTCAGCCGGCGCCGATTTTCGCAGTAGCGACAGCTAGTATGAGGAGCAGGCACATAAATGAACCTAACATAAATTAAATTTTCAAGAACAATATTACTAACATTATACACACAAAAAAAAATCAAAATAATTTACTGTTATTACCTTACAAGTCGACTTTGAAGGGTCCATGAATCATCAATAAAGTGAGCCGTAACTGTCATATAGCCTTTATTCTAGTTACTTGAAGTCCACATATCACTGGTGATTGCAATACGACTTTGATTCTTTTACGACAACTTGATGGTATTCTCTTTCTCATCGTTATAAATTTTCATGATGTCATTCTTGATAGTGTTACGAGAAACCACCTTAAATAGAGGTTGCATAGAAGCACACAATTCTCTAAAACCAATGTGTTCAACCATTGCTAGAGGATACTCATGAAGAATTATCATCTTAGCAACACCATACCTTGCTATGTCTTGGTTAAACGCATAAGAACCTACCATTACAGTTTGACCATCAACTTGTTCAGTTTTTATCAAAGCTTCCTTTATATCTCGATTTGTTCGACGTGGACAAGACTTAATGTGTGATTTTAAGTGTGACGTTCCTTGTTTTGGAACACCCAAGAGTTTTGCACCACAATAGTTACAAATGACCTTCAACTTTCCATCTATTTTTTGCCTTTTGAAATGGTTCCAAACTTCAGAAGTTAGCTTTCTTTTAAGACCTTCAGTGTCAACTTCACATTAAATAGGACTTTCAATTTCATTAGGAGTTGAATTAATTTCTACATTCGGACCATTTGAAGCAACAACGTTAGACTCATCTGCGTTTGAGACTGCCAAATTCTCTTGCATAACTTCTATAGGAGTAAAGGTTTGTTCAAAAGACATTCTACAAAAAAAAGATAAATTTGTCAATACTGTATTAATGTGATAGTTTTAATATCAATATCAATATTCAATACTGTATAACAATTGTGGTTCAAATTATCAACGGTAAACTTGAACCGGAAAAAAAAACTAAGAGATAATGAATAATTAGCAATTAAAAATATAAATTAATAATTAAAAAGCATTAACTATAACAATATTAATATTATAATAATGGTGAAACGTTTACATTAAAATAAAAAAACAAAGAAACCTATAAAGATGCATAACGTAGATATGAGAAAACCTATAATGAGAAAAAATTATCATTTACTTGATATAGTATGATTATATTTCATTGCATATATTAATAACACATGAATATAGCAACAAATAAAAGAGCCTATAGATGGAAAGAATATGCACACATGAATATCATTTTTATATCAATGAAACGAAAAAGAATGTATATAGTGCTTCTTCTTTTTACTAGTTTAGGGTTTAGTATTTTGCATTATAATTGCCTTAAAATAAGAAACTATTTTGCAGCCCCACCTATTACTACTTCAGTGTTGCAACAACCAAAATTAAAATTAAAATAGCAAGAACAAGAACAAAATGTAACAAGGTAGATAGATTACCTTAATCATTTAGGAAATTAGGACTCTGAGTTGCAGTGTTGGATAGAGAAAAGACGGTACTGGTTCTTTGGGTTGGAGTTGGACAGTGGAATTGTGAAAGTGAAAGAGATGTTAGGTCTAAAATATAGAAAAAGCCTAAATAAATATAAAATGACTAAATATGATTTTTCCTGGAATGTGAAAGGTTTTATTTTTCTTTCAAGAAAACGTTAAAAAAAAGAAATATGAAAAGACTAAATTTCTTGGAAGATGTAATGACGTCTATAATAAATTAAAAATATTTAAATACTTTTTATAATTTATTAACGGGTATGGATATCCGCGGGTACGTGTATCATTAAACCCGCATCCACATCCATTAAATAACGGATATTTAAATATCCATTTATTTTATCCATGGATATCCATTAAGCTATCCACATTGTATCTGTGACGAATTATATCCACGGATACCCGCGGGCACGGGCTTTTTTGTCATCCCTAAGTACACGGGGTACTCACTCCCATTACAATATAAACAACATATGAAGAAATTTCCTACCAACACCAACAGACCTAAACGTACAACATCTTACTAAAGTCGTAAAAATTAGAGTAGGAATATGTAATATCTCCTATGCAAGCCCATTTCTAGGCTAATAATTTAATGTTCCAAATGATGTTTTTCACATTAGATTTACCATTATCGAAACTAAATTCGTTCCTAACCTTCCAAATACTCCACATTACTGCCAGCCACACATCACTTCTCCTGTTTTTAGTTCTAGCTGAGTTCTTATTACCAAGCCAAGCTAGAAAGTTCTGCAAAATACTTCCTGCAAACAAAGCATAACAACCCATCCATTCTCCTTCCAAACATCAAACCTTCGTTGAAAAATGATAGGAAAAAGTGATTCAAATCCTCTTCATACAGATTGCACAATGCACACTTCCTATCTGACTCTGAGAGATAAATACCTCTAACATTCAATTGTCCCACATAACCACCCTGTTGAGAAATTTTTTTCAGCTGAAAGACTTGATTTTAGCTGGAACATGCGACTTCCATAACATACCGAGAACTCTGCAAGTCTTAAGTTCTAGCCAATGAGGAATATATGATCCTCTCAACTGCATATATCCTTCCTCGGCAGTGTAAACGACAGACGACCTAGCAATCCAAACAATCTTGTCCTTTTTATCCTGAATAGGATGGACAACATACAACATCAGTATGTTATTAATAAAAAAAAAAACTAAACTCTAACTTTCAACTAACATAATAAACAACTGGTCAAATAGATTAGGCCAATCCAACAAGCTAACTAAGACATATGCATGCAAAAATAAATTTCGACTACGACATGCACATCTTCGACTATTGTTGAACCATGAAATCATCCTTATTGATGTTAGAGTTCAATCCAAATACCACACTTACTAAACAAACACGCGATCATCTAGCTAACCAAACCATTCCATCACTATTTTTACTAATTGTTCTCTTTAGATCCCTCCTATAGTTTCAACTAGCTCTATCTACATTAATTTCGATTCCGACCCAATTCTACATTGCCCTCCAAATGTTTTTAGTGACATTACACTAAAAGAACATGTTTTATGAGGTTTCTTCTTCTTAAAAGCATAATAATACACATACCTTAACCCTACTTCCTTGAATGATACCTCTTTTGATAAGTTGATCTCTGGTTGATATCTATATAGGCAATAAAAGTCTACAGTCAAATATTTGAATTTTAAATAAAACTTTTGCATTCCAGAATCTCAAAGTCACTCTCATACCTTCTTCTACTTCTTCAATTTAATATAACTAATATAAATATATATATGTTTAAATAATATTAATTAAAATATAGTAATTAGATAGTATTTAAATATAAAATATTCTATAAATGACGCAATAATAATATATAATATTCTATCAATTATATAATATTGAAAATTCCTCCTTCAAGAAAAGTTCATGAACTTGTAATTGGAACTTCTCGGTATTTGACTATTTGAACAAACTATTAAACTCATGTTATGAAACATCTCCATTCTCTATATATAAGTCAAATGAAGCAAAGACAAAGAAACCGGTATCACATTGAACAACAAAACTTTTCAAACTTTGTCTTCATCATAGTAAGTAATGACAGATTCTTTGAGCGATGTTCAAATTGCTGAAATCCATGAAGCATTTTTCCTCATTGACAAAAACTCTGATGGTGTGTTTTTTATTTTCTTCACTTTCAGTTTTGGTGTAACAATAGCTCTTAGGAACTGATTTTTGATTTCTGGAATTCTTGCTGATGTTTAGGGTTCATCACAGAGGATGAATTAACAACCACAATCAAATCATTAGGTGTAAATCCAACAAAAGAAGAAATCCAAAATATGGTTACTGAAGTGGATATTAATGGAAGAGGAAGCATTGCTTTTGAAGAGTTCTTGAATATTATGAGTACAAAAATGAAGGTAATTAGTTATCATTGCATATATTTATTTTATTTATTTATTTGTTGTTTGAGTTAATGGTGTTATTATTATCAAATAAATTTTGAATAGGAAAATATATCTAAGGAGTTGAAAGATGCGTTCAGAGTATTTGATAGAGATCAAGATGAATATATTTCAGCCATTGAGGTAAACATACAAATGCATAAAAAGATATATTTACTTAAATTAGTTGTTAGGGTTTTATTAATTTTTGTTTATGTTTTATAGTTGAAAGACGTAATGATGAGATTGGGAGAGAGACTAACAGATGAAGAGGTTGAACAAATGATTAGAGAGGCAGATTTGGATGGTGATGGTAAAGTTAGCTATGAAGAATTTGCAAAGATAATGGTGTTAAAGTGATGTTATTTTTAGAGAAGAAAAATCAAAGTATTTTTTGTTTCATATGCAATGACGTGACATTAATGTCATGTGTCTGCGGAGTATTTTATTTTATTCGTAACGTTAATATGTGTCAATGGACATAAGTTAAGAGATAAATATAAAAAATAATTTTTAAAAATTATATATTAAATTTTATACAGTCTTATAACTAATAATTTTATTATTATTTCCATATTTTTTATTTGTGGTCTTTTAATATAATGGTTGTTCATTGGATTTTTTTTTTGAAATATAATTACATTTATAATGGTGAATATGTCACCATATATTTGTTTGTTTGTATAGAACCCGCTTTTGGTTAAAATTTTATTTAAGGTTAAATGTATTTTTGGATAGATTTTTGTTTTCTAGTTTATTTTTTTTTTCTTCTCCGTATTTCACAATATTTGAGATTTCTTTGACTCCTTCGAATGTGACGTTTTCGTTTAAGACGTGACATATTCTATGTAAACAAACTTTACTATGTAATATAATTAAGTTGGTTAATATTTTTAAAATATTAATTAATTATAATTTATATTTAATTTTAGGCTTTACATTCTTAATGTGAAATTGTATTTAATTTAACTCTTCTCTTTTTGTATGAAACCTAATTTTACGAACGGGCATTCTTGAAAAATAATTATTCATTGTTTAATCTTAGACAATTCTTTATCAAATTCACTTTTTTTCTTTGGTTTTTACTATTTATGAAAAAAAAATTCTATAAACAAAAATTGTATTAATATCAAGAGTATTAGAAGTACTCAACCTTTACAATACAAACAAATTACATCGAGAAAATTTAAAACTAATTTGAAAGACAAAACAACGAATTAACACACCAATCAATTGATGTTTTGCTTCTACCTACAAACCATTTCCAAGAAAGCATTTTAATCCTACACACTAAATCTTCAACTCGAAACTGAACTCCCTTAAAAATTATTTCATTCCTATTATTTCAAATAGTCCAACACACCGCCAACCAGACAATAAATTGGAACTGTTTATTAACCCTATCTTTTATGGACGAATAGAAAACAAAAGTTTGTATTAGAATCATCCAACTCATTATGACACACTATATTCAGCCAAGCAAAAATCATTTCTCAAACAACACTCACCTTCCTACAATCGACAAACAGATGGGAAATGAATTCATCTTGGACCAAACAAAAAGGACAAACCTTTCAATTGTCGGTAATAATTCCTCTTCTAGTCAAAGCGACTCTAGAAGGTAATAAATTCCACAACAGCCTACAGCCAAAAATCAAGACTTTACTAGGGGCATTTGTGATCCACGACTTGTTCAGCTTCTACACTAGACTATCTTCCACCTGCAGACCAAAATTAATAATAGCAGCAGCCGCCCGATAGCAACTTTGAACTGAAAATTCTGTTTTATTCGTCCACCACACAAAGTTGTCTTCAATCTGCATCTGAATTTGGGTTTTCTGCAAAATGTTTACAAGTGCATCCAACTCTTTTTGTTCATCCACCTGAAGCTGCAAATCAGATGCACCATTAACAACCCAGTACCATTTATTATCCTCCCAAAATCCCATATCTGCCACTTTAGAATTTGAACTCTTCATACGTGCATAAGTGAGAGGGAATAAAGTGTGAAAAGGTGTCAAACCCAACCAATTATTGTTCCAAAATTCGATAGATCTTCCTATTAGCTTAATAGTCTGTTCAGTAGCGGATGTTATAACATCCGTTATAACATCAACTGTCTATTAGCTTTGTAATTCTGTTAGTTAGTTAAAGTTAGTTAAGCCAATTAGTTAGTTAGTTGGATTGTTATAAAAGCCAATGTTGTGTGGTGTACAATGTAATGCAATTACTGCAAGTTTCATACAATTCAGTTTCATTATTTCATCTCTTTTCTTTCACATTTAATCACAACTATCATCACCAATCTCACCTCATTTCTTGATGCATCATTGCGTGATTGTTCTATCAAATTGGTATAATCGAGCCCGGTTCATAATTGCTGCAAGAAGACGCTCGAAGAATGGGAAATCATGGCAACAACATCTCTACACGATTACCAGTGTTTGAAGGTAAAACGTTCGATCAATAGATTGTGAAGATGAAGGTAATTTTCAAGTTTCAAGAGGTTCTTGAAGTGGTTAATGAAGGAGTACCAACCTTAATAGCCAATGCAACAGAAGAACAACAAGTTGCACACAAAGAACTGAAGAAGAAGGATGGGAAAGCCATGTTCTTGATACATCAAAGTGTGAGTAATGAGATCTTTGAGAAGATCATGCACTATGAAAGTGCAAAAGAAACATGGGATGCGATAGACAAATTGTATGCTGGTGATGGAAAGCTAAAGAAGGTGAGACTTAGTATGAAGTGCTGACAATGGAAGAAGAAGAAACCATCAGCCAATACCTGGATAAAGTAATCACTCTCACAAACCAGATGACAAGGAATGGTTAAAACTTCACTGATGTGATGAAGGTAGAAAAGGTTCTCGGAACTTTAACACCAAGGTTTGATCATATTGTAGTTGCATTGGAGGAGTCAAAGGATCTAGACTCCATGAAGATTGAAGAATTGCAAGCAAGCCTAGAAGCACATGAACTGAGGTTAACAGATAGGATCAAAGAAAGAGGAAAAGTTACATCTGTGGATCAAGCATTGCAGGCTCAGTATGTGAAGAAAGGAAAGTCCAAGAAGGAGGTTCAGTGTTATAATTGCCAAAAATGGGGCCATTATGCATCTGAATGCAGATCAAAGAGAGTATCAAGGAACAAAGATGAGGCTTAGTTTGCTCAGAATGAAGGATCAGACTCAGATGAAGTGTTGTTGATGGTAACAATCAAGGATGAAGAAGAAAGAAGTGATGAATGGTATCTAGATACAGGGTGTTCCAATCACATGACAGGCAAGAAGTCTTGGTTTTCTGAACTAGATGAATCAGTAAACAGAAATGATGGCAAGAAGGCCTGTATTACTGATGTGCTATATGTTCCAAACATGAAGAGCAATCTAATTAGTATTGGCCAGCTATTACAGAAGGGATATACCATGAGAATGGAGGCAAAAGCTATGAATATCTTTGATCACAAGAACAAGCTGATCATTAAAGCTCCATTGTCAAAGCAAAGAACCTTCATGATTAATATCAGTGTGATTGAAGATCATTGCCTGTTGACTGAGACTAAGCATGAGGACTGGTTATGGCATCAAAGATATGGGCACATTAACTTTAGAGATCTGGATATGCTGCATGAAAGGAAGATGGTGCAAGGCCTACCAAAACTAAAAGTGCCAGAAGAAGTATGTGAAGTATGTTGTACTGGAAAGCAAGCCAGAAGCTCATACAAAGAAGAGATACCATTCAAAGCAACCAGGAAACTAGAGGTAATTCACTCAGATGTATGCAGACCTTTTGAAGTAAGGCCAGTAGGTGGAAACAGCTATTTTGTGACATTCATAGATGAATTCACTAAGAAACTGTGGATTTACTTGTTGGTTAAGAAAAGCGAAGTGTTAAATGTGTTTAAGAAGTTCAGATTTATAGTTCGAAATGAAAGCGGGGAAGTAATTAATAGGTTAAGAAATGATGGAGGAGGTGAATACAACTCTACTGAATTTCATGAGTTTTGCTCATCAAATGGCATTAGTCATGAAATCACTGCACCTTATACACCTCAACACAATGGGATATTAGAAAGGAAAAACAGAACCCTAGTAAATATGATAAGGAGTATGTTGAAGCAAAAGAAAATGCCTAATTTCATGTGGGGTGAAGCAGTTGCTACTGCAGCATATCTCATAAACAAAAGTCCTACAAAGAAGTTGCAGGACAAGACACCAGAGGAAGCATAAAGTGGAGTCAAACCAAGTGTTCAACATTTAAGGATCTTTGGTTCATTATGTTTCAGACATGTGCTTGATCAACTAAGAAGGAAGTTAGATGATAAATCCCAAGTAATGATTATGGTTGGCTATCATCAAACTAGTGCATACAAACTATATAATCCAAATAATAAGAAGATAGTATTCAGCAAAGATGTAAGATTTGATGAATCAAAGGAATAGGATTGGAAAGAAAAGGTCTCACATAAAGGTAACAATCACTTAGCTCTCTCTTACTCAGAGACAGAAGAAGGTGAGATTGAGGAACAAGAAGAAGTTGATGAAGATACAAATGAAGAAGGTGCAAAAGTAATCAATAGACTAACAAGGAATACTCAACCACCAGCCAGGCTGAGGGACTATGAGAGATTCCCTGATCAAGCAGTCACAAATGAGGGTGATATAGTGCAATTAGCAATGTTGGCTGAAACTGAACCAGTGTCTTTTGAAGAAGCTTTAAAACATAAACATTGGAAGATAGCCATGATTGAAGAACTGAGTTCTATAGAAATAATGAGACTTGGAAATTAGTTAAATTACCTACTAACAAGAGGTGTATTGATGTCAAGTGGGTTTTTAAGACAAAACTAAGGTCAGATGGGCAAGTGGCAAAATACAAGGCTAGATTAGTAGCAAGAGGATTCCTACAAAAGCATGGACATGATTACTATGAAGTCTATGCTCCAGTAGCAAGAATGGAAACAATCAGACTGATTGTGGCAATAGTAGTTCAGAATGACTGGTCTATGTATCAACTAGATGTAAAGTCAGCTTTTTTGAACGGTGAGCTAGAAGAAGAAGTATATGTGAATCAGCCACCAAGACTTGAGATAGAAGGAAAGGAAGAATGTTGGTGCGGTAAAGCAGCAAGTAAAAAATATTAAGTACCTAGTTTTATCGTCTCCACAGGGATTAGTGTGATATGAACGCCGTTCAACGACCTCTACAATTCTAAGCTTATTGTTCAAAAGTTTTGGTTTAAAAGTTCTAGGAACCATAAATAAAAAAAAGAAATTATAAAATAAAGACTGAAATATAAACAGAGCCTTGTTGGGATTGGATTTCATCAATTGATAACATATGCATTCTTCTGATCAAAT